ACAAAATTGTAGTGAATATTACATCATGGAAAAACAGTAGTTTGTTCTGTTATCTTCTATTTTATATTCTTTCTATATGTATCTTGACCATTAAACTATAAGCATTAAAGCCTTACCCATTCCACAGTGCTTCGTTCTGCAATCTACCGTGGTAACGTTAGTTCCATTACAGTAMTTTCCACCAAAACTAGGTGCAGGATCGTTACAAACTCTGGTTCGTTCATGTTTTCCCACGCCACATGCTACACACTCAGTGTTCCAGCTCGACCATCGGTTCCAGTGACCGTGTATGGGGGCTGGAAACGACAAGAGATCATRCTATTAAAATCTTGAAAGTATTGTTCATTTATTTTTCTTTCGTCTTTTTCTAGATATATACTGAATAGGCTGTTTTTTTTTCTGAGTGTCATGATATGCACTCCATCTTGCACACATATATTGATTATGATTCAAAAACGACACGAAAAACGAAATATTTCAACCGCAGTAGCTTAGCAGATCGTATAGCTTTTACTTTGACTATTTTGTTCGAAATGTGTAATAATTCGGCATAAAAAGCCCACCAAGACCAAGACACACAGTTTTGCGGTGTGGAAATTATCTTCGCGAACAAAAAATAGAGCGGATTTCGTATGACTGTGCAACGGCACGGATCACAACACAGACACGGCACGGCACGGCACGGCACGGTCACGGAACCTCGCCTTCTAGAATTCCAAATGAAAGTAAAGATTTTCCAATGCATCACGGCTACGGCACGGTACGGACACAGCACCAACGTACCGTGTTTTTTGCAGTCACACGAAATGCGCTCTACTGTATAGCAACTGTAATTAGACACAAATATGAGGGTACATCATAAGGGGTCTTGTGTCCAGCGGGAAAATCTTGTCTTCCAAAAGAGGCAATTAATTCACTCGCTGCATCAAAAGGTGTCTTAATTCTTTAGCCTCCTTGTGTGATGTCCCTTCTCATATATATGGGAATTTTTGCTGCATCAAAAGGTGTCTTATTGCTGATTGATCGCTGTTCATTTGCTTCATCCAATCACCGTTTATAACCACTTTTGAGATCGCAAATCTCATATATATTCTCAAAAGCCGTCGACTGCAGTGCTATAGTATATTATACCTGTACAGTGCTATAGTATATTATACCTGTACAGTGCTATAGTATATTATACCTGCACAGTGCTATAGTATATTATACCTTTACAGTGCTATAGTATATTATACCTGTACATTGAGCATGTGTGCAGTCTACTTGTTGAGTCTCTACACCGTATTCATTGACAGTTGGACAATCAACATTCTTGTTGTCAGACGAACAGTATCTTTGTCTTTCCCTTTTGCAGGTTTTTCGGTTGCATGGTGTCCAGCTTGACCAGCCACTAAGATGCAGCGCTATCAAATACAGTACAATTAATACTATACTAATATACGGCGCCCATCTTGAATTGTTTTCAGTAACAAAATATGGTATGCCGAGAGTGTAAGCAATTCATAGACTATAGGACTTTTAGAATGCTATAATAATAAAAATTCTGAATGCTATGATATTTAAAATATTATTCCTTGAAACATAAAAAAATATCAAATACGTAACACATTTGAAAGTTTGACGCATGAATTGAATTTGAGTATTCTATGCATGACAATGTTGGGTTTTGCCCTCTGAACATCCCATAAGTTCTTCAAAATTCAAGATGGCGGCTAAATAAGTGAGGTCTATTGTTAATTGTCACTGCAGCAGTTCTAAGGAAGAGGTAGAGTCTGCAGAAACGACATTGAAGGTAGAATCAGTACACATTCAAGATACGCATCAATTATGCACTGAGAGAAAAGAAAGCCATGGGATAGTGCTTTGTCTATTACCTTATCCAGGTTGATTACAAAGCTCATACTTACTTTATAACTTCGCTTTCAGAGTTAATGTCGTTAAGAGTTGAAATGATGGAATATGGCATATTTAAAATATGGGCGGGAGACCTTTAACTGATGTGCAGATAATAAAAGCAAGCGAGCAGTTTTATAGCCCATAAAGGTCGGGCGCGAATATTTCTATTGCTTGACAAATTCCAACATAAGCTAAAATGTTTTGCTTCAAAAAGTCAAGATAAAATATCATTTTTAAAAGAAAATCGACGCAAATCAGGACAAATCTCTTGCTCATATGATTGTGGAGAAAGTCATGAAACTCGTATTGGGAAAGATTTTTTAGATTTTTGGTCTAAGAATTATAATGAGATCTTAGATAAACCGATATCGGGTGGTGAGCGGTAAAGACCGATGATTTAGACGGCACAACTTTTGTCTACACAACCATCGCATGCAACCTGCGTAAGTCATCCTTACGATATGGCTACAACTGTCGTGAGGCTATTAAGCAATTGTTTAAAATCCCTACGACAGTTGTAGCCATGTTGTAAGGATGACTTACGCAGGTTGCATGCGATGGTTGTAAGCAAACTTTGTGCCGTCTAAATCGGTCTTTAAGAAACTGAAAAACAAAAAAGCAACTGCGGTGGATTCTATTAGTAATGAGATCATGAAATGTTCTGTAGGGGTGTTGGAGCCTTTTTATGTTAAGCTTTATTGGAATAAAGTTATTGTTGTTTCTAATTAATGCCAGTTGTGTTGAAACTAAGGACCGAGTGGTCATATAGTAAGAAGCAGACATACCTTCGGCATAAAGGGCTATTCTCATACACCTGAAGCCACCTTTATAGGACTTAGGATAAAACCGCAAAAATCTTGTTGACGTGGGTTCTTCAAGACTTTGCTTGACAACAGTATTTTGATCTGAGTTTCCTGTGAATAGCTACATATGATATGAAGAAAAGAGAGTACAGCGTTAGACTTTCCACAAGTTTAGCTTATATTACTATACCCCGGGGAGAACTCCCATACAAAATCGGCCGGTAACCATTTTCGAACATCTAAAAAGTTACCAGAGTTTGTCGAATGTGTGCGTGTTCATTAACAATAATATGTTTCTGTTTGGAAGTCGAAAGACTCGAGTAGAGTGTTCTATGTGTTATAAGAGCCAATAAACAACGAATGACCTTATTATAAGAGTATTGTTGATGTTTGTAAAAGTTAAAATGAAATAACCGATCCTGCATTTGCAAATTCAGTGGTAATTTACTTTAAAAGTAATACATTGTTACAGAAATGTAGTGAAAACAGATGTATACTACAGTACTTTCCCGCTTATAAGAACCTTCAATTTAAGAACCGTAGACTAAAAATATCAATTTAGACTCCATTTACATAAGAACCTACTTAGAAAGAGTCTTATAGAAATTAAACTCAAAAATCGTCATTTAAAAAAAACATACTCAAACTGTAGTGAACTTAAACATGTATATATAAATTTGGTATAGACAATATTTGAAAACCTTGTAGATTTTCATTGCATAAGGGATAAATAAGAAACTATATTTAAGAACCTGAGTAGCCTAAAATTCCACTAATTTTAATTAAAAGCACCATCTACATAAGAACCCGTCCGTTTCGGCTAAATTTAGATAGATAGATAGATAGATAGCTT